GAGGAATACGAATGCGACAGCGGCGAAGACGACCGCGGAGCACCATAGCAACACACGCCGTTTCCCGACCAGAATCACAGTCAGCCGCTGGGCGCAAACACGACACTGCAACGGTGGTGGGATATGTACTTGAGACACGTTGCTCGTCAACGGCCGGTAATTCCCGGCAGGTAGACTCGTAACCTGTTCAGCCTGCAGACCCGAACTCAACTCAGGAGGCTCGAACTTCTCGAGTTCGAGCCCCGCTGAAGCCGGCACACCCGCAGGAGGAAAGATTTTTGCCCGAAATAAAAAGCAACATGGAGTGGAGTGCGCTTGAGATTCCGACGACCCTCTCTGCGAATGATGCCGAGACTGTTTATCACGGTTTGAGTTTCTTGAGAAGCACGAGTGTTCCTGTTCCTGAGGGAGCGACTGACTTGCTTGACGCACTCCGGCTCTTAGCACCGACACACTCGGCGGTGGCAGACCCAATGATAAAGATCCTGGCTCCTGTGGTAACGCCACCACGTCGCAAGACGGATCAGGCCCACGAAAAGTCGAACAAAGCATCAGCAGAGGCATTCAAATACGATGGAGGCGCGGATATTGATGCATGGCCCGTGTCCCAATTTTTCGGGATGCTGAGCTCATGTGGAGGTCAGGATGGCATTTTGTCCATTGTCCAAAGTTCTGGAAGTGGCAAGAGCCGATATGTGGCGGATATTGCGCAGGAAACGTAAGTGTTACACGCATTCAGCGATACTTCCTTTTTAGGCTGGTCTTTTATGCTTCGTTGGCGAAATCGGAGTCAGCGTATCCGCCAAAGACTGTGATAGGAGAGGCGCTGCTGACATGCAAAACCTCAACCGAGGTTATTGGGGTGCTCGCGGTCTGGGTTGCTCGTGCCAGAGACATGTTGTCGAAGGAGGGTCTTGCCTCCCACAAGCTCAGTGAGTGGAATACGTGGCAGAGGCAAGCACACGATTTGACAGATGTCACGGAGATCTTGAATCGGGCACATGTTTTGAACCCGACTATAGCCACTTTGGAGGAGGCCCTCGCGAGTTTGCCCGTCAGTCCCAGTGTCATGAGGTATTCTCCTCACATCTTGTTTTGCTTCGACGAGGCAAGGATTACTTTGGAAACCAGAGTGACCATCGACGAGCCGGACATCGCTGGAGATGCCTCAAAGCCTAATGAGAAATTGTCGTTGTTCCGGTGCTTGCGACGGATTGTTCGTCTCCTGCGGTCCCGCAAAGAACGAGCACGCATACCGCTGTGTTGGGGATTGTTCTTAGACACGTTGTCGCGTGTACAGAACTTTTTACCAGCTGCTCATTTAGATCCTTCGGATCGGCCAAGTCTAGATGACAAGGACTGGTGCATGCCTGCTTTGCCATGTGTGGTTCCGCTGTGCGCGCCTACGGTCAAACTCGAGTGCCATACTTACAGGTCTATAACTCAAGACGGATTTATTGTTAGGTTTGGTCGACCAATCTGGGCGGCCTACTATGGCACTGTCAGTGCGGGTCAACTGGAGGCATTGGCCGAAAAGAAGATATTGTACGATTGTGGGCCTGAGGGCTGGTTTGCAGCGGGCGCCATGCTGGCAAGCATTCTTGTTACGCCGACTTTTACATTTGCTGAAAGGTTGGTTAATTTTCATTCGGCGTTTCTCCTCGCGATGGATAGCGATCGGCTTCGACACTGCATCGACTACAGATCCGAGCCGTATGTGAGCAAAGTTTTACTGGCCTCGCATTTTAACATTCGGCATCCGGACAAGGTGGTAAAAGTGCTCGAAGCGGTCGCTGGAACTGTGCAAATGGGCCTTGTCAACGAGGGTGAGAACGGTGAAGTTGCAGCCAGGCTGATCCTTCTGTTATGTGTCGATGCGACGAAACGATGGTCTGGCAAGGATTTGATCACTAGACTTGTTGGCCGGAAATTAGCATCTGAGGCCAACGCGTGTGTTTTGAACAGCCTTGTGAACCTTAACCATTTCGTTCGGATCGGCACAGACTTGACACCAACGATTTTGGCAGAGCTGTTTGTTAGAGGAGCCGGTGGCATTGGCACAAGAAACCAACAAGTGTGGGATTTCGTTATACCGATTTGGAT